CTCACTGAGCTCATAATTTGCCACTCATACAAGGTAAACAGCCTCTAGACACATAATATTCAGGAGACATGCCTCACTTAGAGGTTTTCACCACTTGGGCACATGTTCATTTTAAGATGGGATAGCTGCAAAGTCTTTCCTACCAGTTTGATTTGCATAACTCTGAGTTGTACAAATGGGACTGATGGCAAAGCTATCATTAAAGAGGAACAAAGAAGAAAACTGAACAAAGGATATATTCTGTGCAAAGTTTGAAGTTTAGACTGTTTCAAGGGTCCTTGTCATGGTAAGAAAGATGTCCACCTCACCACCACCACCACCACCTAAAAAGAATAGCAGACAAGTGACAAAAGGAGGCTCTTGGTAACATGGGAATTAAGAGAAGGTAAACTAATGCTATACACATGAAGAGGGAGGTGAGAGTTGTTGTGGACACAGGCAATGCCCCCAACACCCTGCACAGAGATTTGTGATCAGGTTAGAGTCACTTTACCCCTTCCCCAGTGCATTAGAGAGGAATGGATCAGGCCTGACATCTTAAAGCTCAGCTTTTACAGAAGCCTAAGAAGGAGGGCAACACAGAGAGAGCCAGGTTCTTCTTGCTGGCCTTTTTATATCCAATTCTTTAATTTCTACATTTACAAATTAAAATGTTTTCCATTTAAATCCAAGAGAAAAGCTTCTGAAGGCAGTGAAAATCACTCTAGTTCTTTAGTGGTTAAGAGTATATGGGCTTTGGAGTGAGGGAAAACTAGTTTTGAATCTATGCAACTCACATATTTATAGTTAAGTATTTAAATCCCTAAGTTTTAGTTCCCAGATTTGAAAAAAAAAATGAGAATGCATATACCATAAAGCTGTTGTGAAAAGATTGAATTACACATGTAGATTGTGCAGCATGTATAGTATCTGGCAAAGGATTATTAACAATAAAAATTTTATTCAATAAGGACTATTAGTTTGTGCTGTAATGTTCTCTAATCATCCATTCAAAGCTCTGCCTCATCTTACATTGCTGCTTTTTGTCTGTTTCTTCACATTCGGGTTCCAGTTTGACTTGCTCCCCAGATAATACTGCCCCTGCTTCAAAAACTTTTGGCTCCTATGTTCTTTGTTATACCTAGAATTATTTACAAATTCAATACCAACAACAGACAAAAATTTTAAATCCAAAAAGGAATACATGACATTTGAAGAGCACGGTTCTTAAGTTCTAAAGATATTCTTTATCCTTTATGACACTAACCCTGAGACTATGCATGTCAAGTGAACAGGGAACAAGGATTGTATTATTGTTTTCTAGCCTCATAGGAGGTTAAAATGACTTAGCAAAAGTAACTGGATGGCCTAACATGAAGAATCTTAAATTCTTTTTTTAAATTTATTTATTTTTTTAGTTTGTAGATGGACACAATATCTTTACTTTTATTTATTTAGTTTATGTGGTACTCAGGATCAAACCCAGTGCCTTATGCGTGTGAGGCAAGTGCTCTATCACTGAGCTAAAATGCCAGCCCAAGAATCTTGAATTCTTGATTCCAAACCTGCCAGGTCTCCTTTCCCTTCATTTTACAAAGTCATCCTAAAGAGGATGATCCTAAGTGTTATTCTTATATTATATGTTCATTTTTATTACACAGCTAAGATGCTTTCTGGATTTGTATTGACCTCCTAATATTACCCTTATAACACAGGGAGAAATCTGTAATTCCTTGTTCAATAGCCAAAGCCATCCTGTCACCAAAACTATCATATGTTAGATCACATGTCAGTGTCTGCAACCTAGCCAGGCCTTAGCTCTCAGGATCTACTTGTTGCAAGTGAGTTTATGTGCCTTGAAGCATATGGCCTTGATATATGATACCAGAGCAAAAGAGCAAGGTATTTCAAGCTGGCCACAATTTTATTGACTCTCACAAGCTTGCTTTGTAGTTGTTCCAATAAACTAGATGAGAAATTTCTGATGCTCCAAGCCATCCAGTGTTCAGGACTCCATTTCATGATTCAGAGTCCAACAAAACAACTCAAGAGTGCTGTTGTGTGACACTGTGACCACAAGGATAAATAATTGCTTAGTAATTCTTTTTGAGGCAGAAAATTCTAAACATGGAGGAACCATTTCCCCTTAATGGGAGCCAGAAATCCTATGAGTGCTTGAAATGGCATTCACAAGTCTGAATGGTAAACAGATAAAAACAGGAGCGCACCAGTTGCACAAATGACTTGCTTGTCACAAACTTGTCATTGCAGTAATCTAACATTTCTTTCACAGAGCCCGACGGAAAGTATGGAACAAACAGGCCCTGCTGACGTTTTGGCTCTGTTAAGCCTTCCTCCAAGCTAAAGCATCTGCAGCATCTTCCTGTTCTAGACCCTTTATCTGCTGAAGTTAGCTGATACTGTACATGTCAAAGAAATGTTTGACTATTGCATTAACAAGTTGATGACAAGCAAGTTATTCCTGCAATTGAAATACTGCTGCTTTTAGCAGGCTGCCATTTTGACCTTCATTTTATTATAAAGAAGAACCTTAACAGAGCAAAGCACTGGGAAGATACCAGCATTGTTGGCCCAGGCTTGTACAGGTCAACAAAGACCACCTATCTGGTCATAGGTGTGGTGGTATAGTGGGCATACTAGGCAATTCCATCAAGTTATGAATGGGATTTCCTAGTAAAATATAGATGTTTTGAATACATTGGACTATCCCAAGGATTACTCTTGGAAGGGTAAAATCAACTACATGAAAGTTCATTTTCTTTTGCTTTCTTTCTACTCCATACCCCCACACACGTGCATGCACATACACATTTATCAAATGTTAATGGCTGGGACACTTAAATGAAAATTGTATATTCCCACTATATACATTGTTTTGCCAGTTCTTGCTGTTCCTCCTTATTGGTGGCCTCCCCTACCCTACTTCTYATTTGGCGTAGTATCTAGAACATCTTAATCTAATCAGAGACATGCCCTTATCTCCTGAAAGGCAAGTAGGTAGCACCCTCACAGAAACCTCAGGCAGCCCTCCCTAAGACCTCGTTAGTTCATCCCAACCTCAGCTGCCAGCAGGGAGTGCTCACACACTGTGTAACTGTTGACTCTTGTCTGAAGAGTCCTCCTCCCCTGGGGGACCCACCCTCAGTGGGTCCCAGCCTTATCAGCCTACAGAGCCTGTCTGGAGCCTGTAATAGGAGCTTGCCTATGGCCCACCCTGCTAAACATTCTGCTTTTGTTGGTGCCATAGGATATCAGCACTTGGAACAATGCAGCATTTGCCCTAAGACTGTGGCCTTTTCATAATACTGAGCTTCTCTTATTCACCAGGGTGTCAGGTGCCTTGTATTCTTTTTAGACCCTTCAGGTCTGTTCAGGGTACACTGATGCTGTCTGGTCTATTTTAAATATTAACATGAAAAACTTTCATTCTCTGACTTAAGTTGTGGCTAGTACCACAGATGCTTTCATTTTTAAAAGTCTTGTGTAAAAATGATTATTGTTGTTCAGCCATGAGAGCCAAATTTCTTGCCAAAGTGGTGTAGGCTTTAATTTTCTTTTAGACTTGGCAAACTGACCACAATACTGTCTCCCAGATGAATGCTTTACTCCCATCCCAAATATCTCATGCTGTAATCTATACCTCCGCTTTATGGAACAACTACCTCAAAGGACAGGTGGAAAGGGTGTGAGAAGAGGGCCCAGTTCTTTATACAGTTAAGGACATTGTCTCTGGAAAAGGAAGTGAGGATAGTTTGAGGCAGCAATTGAAGGTTTCTCAAAAGAAAATATGTGAATGAACAATTTGAATTTTAAATAGAGTTTTACTGACTTTTTCTTTCTTTTTAAAGTTCCTAATAGGATTTCCATAATGATTTTGTGTTTTCTTTCTTAATAGAACTTAAATGGCAAATAAATGATATGTTATTTTTGATTCAGAAAAAAACAAAAGTCTTCTTTATGGGAACTCTCTTTTTAAATACACATTAGGAAATAGATAATGGGGGGGGTGTTTTCTCTTCCTATTCAGGGGAGAGCTAATTAGTGTGTATGCTTGTGTTTTTAATATTTATTTACTTTTTTTATTATGTATTTATTTTAAGAAAGTAAGAAAAGAAGGAAAACACCTCTTATACGAAAGTAAATTCATTGTATTCATAGAAATTTCGGGCATAAAAGTGTTTTGAGCAGACTGACTTTATATCACACTCTGACTTGAGAAATCTGGATACTAAGATCCAAAGATATTTAATAAAATGAACCAACATATACAATAGGCTTGTGGCAAAGCAAGGCCTAAAACAAGAGCTGACTTTCAATTCATGCAACACCCCTCAGAGATTACATTACATTTTTAAACCTTTCTTTTAAACAAAGTCTCATTTCAGTAATTTGCATTGGTGTGCTTAAGTCTAATAGGGCAGTTGCTGTTACAGTAACTAGGACTTGGTACCGGCTAAGCTAAGGAATGTACATTTGAACAGACTGAAGATTTTTTTTTTCTTAGTTGTATTTTATCTGAGTAGTGTAAGGAATCTTTATTATTTCAATTATTTTTTTTCTTTTAAAAGACTTCAATGAAACACTTATTCTGTTACCATCTTGTACATGAAAACATTTTTTTAAATAGGTCTGTTCTTTTAATAAGTATTCATTTAAGTAGGTCATATTCTAACATTCTTGGAGATAAAAAAAATATCAGATTAGCAGAAATCTGTGTTTATTTCCCCCACTTTTAGCTATGTTTGAATTGGTCCTTGTAATTGTTAGTTTCAACAAAACACTGATTAAGTCAAAACATCAATGTTTTTGTTTGTTTGTTTAGGTTCTTTTTGTTTAACACCAGAAGAAAATAAAATACACATTTACCTTATCACAGCTATGATAATTATATACTCTATTTTTAATTTATGCAAAACTTATTTTTGAGGGTTTTCTTTTTGTTTCATTTCTCTGTTTTTGCATTTTCCAAACATCTGTACCGTGGCTGGTGGCAAGAGTAGCAGTGGCTGGCACTTTTCCTCCACATTGTGAGAGAAAGAGAATTGGCTGGAATAAAACCTTGCTTTCCATATGGTCAACTTGAAATGCAGCATTGAAAAGGTATCGTCTCTTTTTCTTCTCAGAAACCAGAGGTGAAACCCATGAGCAAACAGAAATATTAATGCCAATTCACCTGTTGATTTATATCAGAAAAGACCTTGGCAATGCATCTCCTATATCATCAATTGAAAAACTTAAATAGATGATCTTTGTGTAGTGGTAACATCTGTCTATATCAATAACGTACACTTCTGGTCACTTGTTTAAGAAAGCCTAAAATTCTATACAATGCTAAGAAATGAATTAAAACTTTTACTTTTGATTCACTTTGTAAATATACTTGCTGTGAAGTACTTATTACTTGGGATCTATTGTTAGTGACAGTAGAGAAAAGATGACACTACTGCTTTCCTTACCTAATTCTAGTAAGGAAGAATGCAGTCTTTGTCTTAAAAAAATATTTTTTTAACACAAAATATTTCAAACACATAAAAGTATAAAGAATCATATGAAATATAAGGATCCAGAACCCAGGTTCAAAAAATTTTAATTATTTGGAATATTTGTTTCTGAATCTGTTTCCATCCTTTATTATTCCATCCTAAGTTACTTACAGTGTGACAAACTAAATGTGTAGACTGGTGAGTTTAAGATAATGCCTATGTAACAATTCCAAACCCAAGATATAGAACATTTATAATACCTAGGAAGAGTCTTTGTGCTCTCTTCTACTTGATATTCTCCAAAGCTTTAACAAAAAGTTAAAAACAAGCAAAACTATTCTGATCTCTATTATCATGAGTTAGTTTTATGTAAGTTATATGCTATACTTATATTACTAAAATTAATTTATTGATTCTCTCATTGTTGGACACTATTTTCAATGTTTTCTGTTGACAAACAAATTAATATTTTTATGCATATATATACAGCAAGGTGGGATTGCTAAAAATTAAGAAATATGCATTTTTTGAACTTTACTAGGTATTAAAACATTCTCTTCAAAGTGATAGGATAGTACCAATTTATATTCTCATTAGCAATCTGAGAGATTTCCCATCTGAAATGGTCAGATATAAAAATTTTTGTCGTTTTAATAGGGATTAGTGCCTTTTTTTCCATTTATAAGCCATTGGGATTTCCTCTTATGTGCTGCCTATTTATGTCTCTTGCTTATTTTTCTATTGAGTTATTAGTTTTGCTGTCACTATTTTGAAGGTTTTTGCTTTGTTTTGTTTTGGCATCAGTTGTTGTTATAGTATTCTGGATTCTTTTTCCTTTAGGCCTTAGAGAGGACAAATATCTTTTCCCAAAATTTGTAGTTTGTATTTTAAATGTATCTTTAATAACATTAATGTTTTTAAAACTTCTAATTTTAATGGTTATTGATATTTTCCTTTATGGTTTGTACTTTTATGTCATTTAAGAAATCTTTCCATATGCCAAGGTCATAAAGCAAACTTCCAATATTTTCTTCTAACAGTTTTTAAGTTTTTCACTTTATATTTAGGATCTTTATTTCATCCATTGTACTGTTTTTCTATCCCTGTATAAATACCATAGTGCCGTGGTTACCATTATTTTATAATATTCTTGCATTGTTAAGGAAGATACCTCTACCTTGTTTCTTTTTAAAATTCTCTTAGCTCCTCTTAGTAATTTGCTGTTTGGTATGAATTCAGAGTCAGTCAAGTTTGTCAAAAGCCCTGCTGAATTTTATTTGTAATTACATTAATTTTAGAGAATAATTTGAGAGGAAAATTGATATTTTTGTAATGTCTCTTTCTGCCCATTGACTACATCCCTGTACTTATTCACATCTTCCTTCATGTTATCTAATAAGTTTTGTAATTTTCACCATAAAGGTGTTCAACCTATTTTGTTAAGTGTTGTCCTATATAACTTAGAAGTTTGTGCTATTATGTACAGAATCAGTTTTCCATTTCACTAATTATTAATTATGGTTATTATTGGTATATATTCAGCAATCTTATTTCTTCTGGTAATTCTTGTAAGTTTCCTACATGAACATTAACATTAACAAAAATGACAACCTTTCTCTTAAATTCCAATTCATAAATATTCAATTTATTTTTCCTGTCATATTACATTATTAAACCTTTACATCGTGTTAAATAAAAGTAGTAAGATTAGAACTATCTATTCTGTTTCTTAGTTTAATGGAACTATTTTGGAACTGTAATGTTTGTTTGGCACTTTTCCTCCACATTGTGAGACAGAAATCAAAATTACTATGGTGAAGGAAGAACCCATAATCCATTTATACCTTGCTAGAAATTTTTAATCAGCAATAATAATTAAATTTTATCAAATACATTTCTACATCAATAATATAAAATATTTTCCATTAGTATGCTAATATTGTGTACATTAATATATTTCCTATATTAAGAAAATTAATATTAACATTCCTATATTCTTACATTCTTGGAAGAATTTTTCACTGAAAAAAATTAATTTTAAAATATTTTACATAGTATATTTGCATTGATGATTATCTCTTAATTTTCATTTTTAAAAATTATTATTGAACAATTTTGGTGTTGGGGTGGTACTAGCATTTTAAAATAAGTTGAGTAACATTTAAGTTTTTTATAATTTTGAAACCATTTTTACAYTACAGGGATTACCTATCAATAAGAGGGGCTTCATAATTAGAGATTAAAGTAGTAAAAATATTATCCCTAATATTATTTATCTGAAACTTCTCCCTTCTTTATCTAATTGATAGATATTTTTATATTTCATTTACTTTTTTCAAAAACTGGTTTTGATTTTGCTTATTCACACTATTTTCTTCTTTGTATTCTATGGCATTACTTTTTGCTTTTATCAACATATGTTCTTCTATAACAATTTTAGATCATTTTTATTTTTCTAGATTCTTGAGTTGAATTATTACACATTTATTTCAATAAGTGTTAGTAGCTTTTAAAATGAACTTCAGAAATATTACTCTGAATTGGTTGTATATTGTATTTTGATGTGTAGTTTTGTTATATTTTAAATAGTTTTTATTGACCATTATAATTTGTTTTTAATGTTTGAGTTACTTGGAAGTGTATTTTTTTCTTTCTAAACATATTTGCTCAATTTTTATTATTCATTCTAAATTTAAATGCATTGTAATGAAGCTGGGCAATGTGGCTCATATTTAAAATCCCAGCTATTCAAGAGGCTGAGGCAAAGCATCAGATCCAAAGTTCAAGTCAGCCTGGGCAACTTAGTGAGACCCTGTTTCAAAGTAAAAGATAAGAGGCTGGGGACATAGCTCAATGGCAAAGCAAACTTGGTTTCAGTCCATAGTACCAAAAGGTGGGGAAAAATACAGCATTGCAATGAGAAAATGTGTTTTATGTGGTTTTAATTGGAGAAAAAAGTCTTTTGAAATTTCTTTTATGATTTTATCTAGTATCTACATTTTACTGTTGGTCTTGAAATGTTTAGGTGGCTTAGTTGTTCCTGTAATGTTCATTATAAAATATTTATATGTATTTTAATTATGTATATTTCTAATAAAAATTAAATCTACTTTTTAATATTTTGGACACTCAATATAAACAAGATGCTTAGGTGTTTTATCTGCCTATTAAACATCAATGTTGTCCATGTAATTATTGGAGCTTTTGTTTTATCTATTTGTTTTTAATCATATAGAAAAGTGGTTATCATTGATTTCTGAAATCATGTATATATATAGTTACATAACTTAGGTATTACTGTGCCCACTGTTACTCTTGAATCCTATAGCTTCTTTTCAGGGTTCACTTATTTTTATTGTTAAATTACCCTTTTTTTTTAGTGAGGACCCTGGGTAATACTATCTTTTTGGATGTCTAAAACTTTTATTTTGTATTTTATCTTTAATAACAATTTATATGAATATTTTTGTTCAGAATTTTGAAGATGATATTCAATTTTATCTGTAACCCTTGCTCTGTCAACTCTTACCTTAGATAAATCTGCTATCAACCTATTCTTATCTATTTATAGGTAATCTGCTTTTTCCTCTGAAAGCTCTTAAGAGTTTGTCTTGTAGTTTCTCTTAAATGTGACTGGTTGTAAATTTATTTAGGATTATCAGTCATGTATTCAGGATATACTTGTGAATGACAGCACTCCAATTCTGCAAAATTCTAAGCTGTTGTCTTTTGCCTGATTGTTTCTTTGTCTTTACCTCCATTTTCTTCTTTTAGAATTCTGATAAAATATATATGGATGTTTCCTAATCAGTTTACCATATCTCAATAGCTATTTCATTTTCTAAAAATCTAGTTTACCTTCTGTGATTTTTCTAAACAGATTTCTTTAAACTACTTTTCAATTCAATTCTCTTCTTGAAACTACTTTAGGTTACCCCATTACTGCACCTTTAATGTCAAGGAACATCCTCTGAAATTTTCTGATTGATTTGTCTTAATTGCCTATTCTTATTTTATTACTATTTTTTGTCTAATAATAACATTTTATAGGTTTGATTATTTTATCTCTTAGCATCTCAAACATACTCAAGTTAATTTCTTAAAATCAAATTCATCAGGAGTAAATGCTCTTCTTATTGATTTTGTTGGTTTTCTTAGCATTAGATTTCTTGCTATATTTTAGAACTTTTTTTTTTTTTTTTACGAAGTGGTGTAGTCATGTGCTGGCAAATGCCTATAATTCCAGMAGTTTAGGAGGCTGAGGCAGGAGGATCATGTTTTCAAAGACAGCCTCAGCAACTCAGTGAGGTGCTAAGCAACTCAGTGAGACCCTGTCTCTAAATAAAATATAAAAAAGGGGCTGGGGTTGTGGCTCAGTGGTTGAGTGGTCGAGTGTCCCTGGGTTCAATCCTTAGTACCAAAAAAAAAAAAAAA